ACGTGTTCTGACTTGGAGAATCAGATTCACTTCATTGGCTTTGAAAAGTTTAAGAATCGTTCTGGGTCCAATCAGTTGAAAACTACTTGGGAAACTCATTATGTGCCAGAAAATGATCAGATAATCTCGTTGATATGATACAAACTGTCAGAAAACTTGTCACTTCGTGCCTTGAGAGGTGAAAATGTGGCACTCAGAAACTCTGTTTGTTGTATATGTTGCAGGGAAAATTCAAATTCAGGACAATTTTAAATTTCCCTGAAATTTCTCTAGGGGAATTTTAAATTGCTCTAGATATTAATCTCCCCTCCAACATATACTTGAGATAAAATGCAAAAGGACTTCAAATAATTTAACGAATAAATCATCCAAAACGATTACAACTTTTTATAGCTGATACGTGTGCTCTTACATTTAAACATTTCGAAAATGTGTTCATTTATTATTATTATTATTCGAGCAAATTATTCAATTCATTTAATATTGTTAAACTGAAAAAGCTTATTCTAATGTGAAATAAAGTACATCGTCAATCCCTCGATTCTTTTGTTCTAATGATAATATGCACGACACATGTTGTATGAAGTGCACATATCATTTTATTCTTTCAATCGTCTGTTCAACTACCATATTAGTTTGATATATACATTGATTTGATCATTCATGGAGAATCTGGTACACTATTATATCTTTTGACAAATTGTGAGATATAATGTTGAGTTTTTTCTAAACTTGGAATTCAATTATTTCGTAATTTTACGTGCTTATCCTATTCTCACTCTCTTAGATGAATAATAGCATCGACCTACTGAATGATACCTACAAGAACACTCTTTCTCAGCATTAAATAACAAAACCTGTCATTTCTAGACTACGTAGTTAGAGTGTACAGAGTTTCAGAATGATATAACCATCGTTAAAGTTTACACCCCTTTTCTCGTTACTATAGAAACCTACCAAATAATCTTTGACTTTCTCCTCCCCTTCTCACTCGCCATTGCTAGAACCAAGAAGTTGCAAAAATCCTCGATTTGAACTTACACACGTGTATGCTTCTGAAGAAAATATACACGGGCTTAACAAAATTTGCTCCTTTGTTGTAACATGATGAAATTAATTCTACTACTTGGTAAAAAACGGCAAAAATCTTATTAACTGCTGCTAAGTGATGAAATGTGTTCGATCCAGCTTGATAAGAAGCATAGGCATGCATTTTTTAGGTGTTTTATTGTATGTGATTCCATGTGATTCTGAGTGATTCTGAGTGATTCTATTGATTCTGTGTGATTCTGAGTGATTCTATTGATTCTGTGTGATTCTGAGTGATTCTATTGATTCTGTGTGATTCTGAGTGATTCTATTGATTCTGAGTGATTCTATTGATTCTGAGTGATTCTATCACCATAGAATCAGCTTTTTCCCCCTTGGGGCTATGGCATTTTATTGTAAATTAAACAAATCGATTGGTCGTTTGATTCTTTAACGAGTGAACCTCACCATCTGATTAAAAGCTTTACAGTTCATGCCATGCTGGTAAGTAGGACTCAGTGAGACTATAGAAGTTCGAAAAGAAGTTGTCCCCAAGGACCTTTCTTTCGGAATTATTACTCTTTTTCTGAAATTTCATCTTATAGTAGGACACTCAGAAAAGAATTAAGAAAGTTCTCTCTGAGATTTTATTCATAAAATGGTTTCATGAGGGTGTGCGTATGTGTTGATGCTCATTATAAGTATAGGCTTACCCACATCCTATCTTGCAATTCATAAGAAATTTAAAAGAATAATGCTTGATTTTACAAAGACAAAAAGTGTATTTCGTTAATTGTTCTTTTATTCACTGAACATAAAACATATTCATGATCTTCTTTTAACTCTTATCCATGATTTTTAGTTTTTTTCTGAACTATTTCTGTTAATTTGATGTACAACGTGATCAATTAGTAATGATGAATTTATTTTTGAATCCGATGAATTAAAAAAACGATTTTCACGTGATTTTGGTGGTGAATCTGGAACCGTTTCATAAGTATCATGTTCGTTTATTACAACAAAAGAAAAAATTCTTTAATAACATTTCAAATAAAAAACTCTCTTTTTTGTGTAACTTTCTTAGAGTGTTGTTATTACGGAGATGGATCTTAATAACAACCGAAACAGGTCATTCTCGTAGGCCGCTGATTTCTTGACTATTGCGCTTCAGCGAAAGTTGGTTGTTACATCATTTGAAAAAGGACAATTTAAAGATGATGCATATGTAAAAATATTTTCAGTCGAGTATAAAATAGTTGCACACTGAGTCAAACAAGATAAGATAATTTTTTAGTGTTGTTATTAGGGACATCTACTCTATACCTGTTTGTAATAATTCTTATTTAAGATTAACAAATGATGTGCTTTACTCAAAACTTTGAAAACATGATACATAAATTTAGTGGCTTGTGTACACCTATACTCTTTTATTGGTATATTTTTAAAAACTTTCAATTCATTGATTATTTCTAAAAGTACAATATCGATTGCATGCCGTTGGATACGGACCATCATTATTGAATTTTTTGCTCAATATCATTACTACTAATCAGTTTTAACATATTTATTCGTGGACAATTGATCATAAATTTCTCAGTCAATGTCTCACAGTTTTTTATTTGACCAACGTATAATTCAAGTTCTTCTAATAATGGATGGTTTTTTGCGAAATTTACTAGTACATCTTCACTGAATTGAACTGATGGATTTTTCTCAACGTTCCGAAAATTCACTTTGTGGAAAGGAATGCCACCATCGGTGATTCTAATTGAGATAAGATGATGATTTTGATTCATCATTTCTAAGCATCGATTACTCAAATCTAAATGTCCATGCAAATCAAGAGAAGTTAAGTTTTGGAGTTTAGTACAAATCTTATCGATGATGCTATCATCAATTAAAAGTTGGCTCAAATTATAACACTCGTATTTGATGCCAGAACATGTCCACACACGAATTTTCAAATGAGTCAATTGCTTATATTGGACACACACTTCGATCAATCGTACATAATCGTATGTCCATGAGTATAGTGAAAGCTTTGTCAGGTTCGGAAATAGAATAAACAAATGCTTCGAATAATTTCCATCAAACATATTTGTACGAAGCAAAAGAAAGTCAACTTTAGGAAATACTTTGAGCATTGAACAATCGATTTCAACTTCAGGACTATTAATTGGATACTGCGACAACCAGTTAATCAATGCACCGGAAAATTTCAACAGATTACACCACAGTCTCGCATTTTGTCCGCATGTGTGAGAATAACTTGGAAAAGAAGCTGATATATCGAGTGACAAATGACAGAACAGTTCATAGGCTTTACCATTAAAATTATGGAAAATGGGTACTGGAAAATTGATTATCAAATCGGTTATGGACGACAAATTTGTCAACTCGTAAATTAAATCTACTTTTCCCAGGTCATATGAATCCCATTTAGCAGGATTTTCGCTTCGATCATGATGAACATTCGGAGATGAGTCTATAATTACTTTTTCTAACGTTTTACCTTGTAATTGAATAAATTGTTGAGCCATTTCAAACGTATCACGATCACGTTTCAGAAGAAGGCATATGGCAGTTAAATTTGGAACAAAATGAAATGTTAAACTACGACCTGATATTTCAATGTCTTTCGCAATATCGAATGAAAGCAGCGAAGACTTGGTAATGATTGAATTCCAACGTCGACAAACATTAGCACATGAGCTTAGCTCTGGATAGGAGAAATGTTTAAAGATTTTATCTAATATTTCAGGCGGTATATGATTTATAGGCAACATTTTTCACAGTTAAGTTTGTTCTTTAAAAAATTTTATCCCTTCACTGACTTACAGTATGTGAATCATTATCGGTTCTCTTTTTCATTTCTTCCAACAACTGTTTTTTTTTATCTTTCCCACTTTTCTCCGTCGACTGAAGTGTTGAGAAAGAAAACATTACTTCAACATGTACTACTTTGAAACAAATATTTTACGAAGCAACCAGCTGTTTGATGAAAGAAAAAGAAATAACAAACAGGACACAGGCAAATAATATATTATATTCTTTTTCATACAGAATTTTTTAAATTATGAGACGACATTTATGTGCGTCTCGAAGAAGGGTATACTTTTTTTTAGCTTGTTCTCCACCCATTTCTGTGTCGAAGAGATCGACTTCCAAATGCGATGAAATCTGCTAAAAATTGTATTTTTACTACGAAATCCGATCGTCTTCTGCATGAAGGCAGTATTTTAAGACGCAAAGACATAATTATTAGTGGAAATAGTATATTGTACACATTTCTGATCTTGTTTGTTATCGCCTCGTCAAAAATTTTTTAGATTGAGAGTGAGTTGTATGACGAGGTGATAATAAACAAATACCATAAATTGGATTCTCGGAACCATCGTACAGAGGGTGTGGGTGTGGGTGTGGGCGTGGGTGGGTGTGGTGTGTGGGTGTGGGCGGGTGTGGATGTGGGCGTGGGTGGGTGTGGTGTGGGGTGTGGTGTGGGTGGATGTTGGTGTGGGTACGGCTCGAAGATTGAACTAGAACACCCACACCCCAAAATTTGTTTCGAATTGATTCTCATTGAGTTTTGACTCTTTACAATTGAACAAGAAAATCAGTCAACTAATGATAGACCGACTGAGTATCAGTCGAAATGCGTCGTGGTAGCACATATGTATCCTCGCACCCTCATTTAAGCCTCACATGTTAGTCATATTCTCATATGCAAACTGTATGTTTAACGCAATTTTAAAAAATCAGAAAATTTGAATAAAAAATTGGGTTAATGGAAGTGTTCCTCTCGAAACTATGCCGTATATGTAACTTCTAAGTATGGTAAAGCTTTACCATATCGATAAACAATATATTCTTCGTATTGCCCTCCTGTTCCTTGAACCGAATGATACCCTACTGGTGCTGCATTCAAACTCGTATTATCGGTATTCTGCACTGATGGTATACCTAAAAGAATTTTAGCGGAAAACATGACGCGTGTTTGGTCTTGTGGATTAAGATTTGTATAATCATGTGATTTTCTCGGATCATTAGCAAAATAGGCACCATGACCTAGTACAAAAGATACGACAAAAATATAAATGAATAATTTAATCAATATTAACGCATTATTGTTTGCAAAATTTTAGAGAAATCGATACTTTTTTAACGACTTTTTCTAAGGATAATGTTAGCTCCAATATGTATAGAACGTAAGAGACAAACAGTGTCACTGATGTTATGTGATAGAACGATGAAAAAGATGACCTTCGTGGGAATCGAACCCACACCTCCTGCTATCCGGGTAGTTGTCCTAAGCCAATTAGACTAGAAGGCGCATCTTAATCATCGTTTAGCGTCCAAGTGATCCATCATGGACGCTAACACATAAGTTAACGATATGAGGTTTTCAACGTTTGAAAAGCAATATCCAGATGCATCAGAACATTCTAAAATTTGATTGATCTATTTCAATGAGCCGATCAGATTTCAAAAGGTGCCAATGAACCCATCTCTTGGCTTTCAAACAGTAAAAACTTCATTATGAAGAAATTATGCTATATACTTTGTACACGTATCAATTTAAAAAGACAAGATCTTCATCAGTCCATCACTTACCCCATCGTCCACTGGAACTGAAATATCTATCATCAAAACCATAATCAGTTATACCTTGTACTGCGTCAGTTTTCGTTCCATGAAATAAATATCGTTCCTTTGTATTCGATTGTGGACATTGACCTGCAACATTGGTTTTCATGAATTCATATAAACCTTCTAATCGAGGATTTCGAATTTGTTCAATTGATTTTATTTGAATTCCACTACCAATCACTTGCATCTTTGTTGCTAAATCTTGATATAAATCTGATGATGAAGGTAAAGGTACTACCACAGAAATAATGTGCGAATGAGGTGATGGTACAATCGAAAATGGTTCTCCAATTTGAGTCCAATTGCGAATATTTTTCATTTTATTAATGCGGTCTTGTATTAGTGAATCTGTAGACGAAGAACGCGAAACTTCTTCTCTTTAATATTTTTAACAATAGATTCTAAACTGATTGAATAAGGTAATTTTTGAATGTCAACCCTCATTCCAATCTCACGTGTATAAATTTTCTCTAAATACAAATTATTAACATCAAAATCAATACGATCATGAGTTAATGCAATATGTGGTTCGATAAGATCCATTGTGAATTGACGAGTCTTTTCATCTTTATCAATTAATAAAACATATCTTCATGATTTTCGATAAACATCACATGTTATTCCAAATTTATGTAGTTCATCTTTAAACTTGTCAATGTTGAAATATGTTTTTTTTGGTAAATGACAATCAAAATCACTTGGAACAACTTCTTTAATCATATAAGGGATTTTATCTGTTCCTTCATATTTTACCCAGTCACTCGGCTTTTTTAAATTAGTTGGACGCTGTGTATAGTTACCAACAACCCAATCGCGCACAAAGCCACCTTCTATCTTACAATCGAATTTACAAACAGCCACCCACAGTACAGATTCCATACGTGATTCACGTGTTGCATTGGAACCTCTTGTTACATTAAATAAATCAACTCGAGTTCTTTTAATATCAGTTATACGAGCAATTCTTTCTTCAACATCTAAACAATTTTCTCTTACTTTTGGTTGAAAAATTCGTGGTGATACCCCTAGAAGAATTACAAAAAAACAAAAATCATTCTTTGTTTTTAATTGAGAAACATCAGCATTTTACCATATAAATCAATTACAACTATGACTTTTAGACTAAACTACTCAGATATGTGTGAAAGTGTAGACCTTCTGTTGACTATGATTTCGATCTTATACGATCGTCATATATTTTCAGTTCATATGGATAAAACTTCTTTATATACAAGAAACTCATAAGACAACTTGAACAAAGCTCCGAGAAATTCATTAAGCTTTTGAGATTTAAATGGGCTCTCTTAGAAAGGAAAGCTACTGTTAACTGCTGCTGACAGATCACTGAAATATAATAGAATATTCTATTCTGATTAGTTTTTTTAATACGACTATAGATCAGTAGATTCCTTGTAAATTATACGCATAATTGTCAATCAACGTAAGGTCAAACTACACTGGCAGGGCAGATGTTAAAAACATAATTACGATCAACGTAAGTAGCTGCTTTTATCATTGATCTCTTTGTTTTCAAATGTGATACATAAAATTATTCTCTGTCTCATTGATATGTGACCTGAAAATTCAGTTAAATTCCTGTTTAACTTTAGCAATTTCAGACGGTCTTCCAACAATTTTCATGTCACATGTTTTTGCAGATGTATTATTATCGACTGTAATCTTCACTTGTTTTTCTACTTCCCAACGCCATATCATCGAATGAAATATATTGGGCATTTTGCTTACTTTTTCAAGGTTATCCGCTAAATTTTTATATTGTGTTGTCTTTGGTGAATAACGATTTTCTAGTTTAAATGTTAATTCTGTAATCATTTCCTTTCGTAATTGTAATTCAGCGTTGAGTACAACGTCAGATCGACCAGTCAATTTAAGAGTTTTATTTGATAGTAACATTTGAATATTATTCGGATAGAGCTAGCGAACTCTATCATATTTATTATTGTTATTAAGATATGTTTCTTCTTTAACAGTTAAACTAAACTCACGCTTAATAGAATGATTCATCCAATCAAGTTTTATTCCACCAACAAATGAAATAATAATTCGAGAACGAACGGCAGTTGAATAGAAAACATCTCGAGCAACTACAAGAGGCACAGGTTCTTGTTTTATGGGTCTTGTTAGAGTTGATTTAATGTCTAAAACAGCAATATCCTCCGTATCCTTATATCGAGCAAAGCGAAGATTTTTCTCTTGTAATTCTCTCACTGATACAAAAACATTATCACAATAACCAGCTAGTAAGGCTTTCGCTATTGACTCCCATTGTCCATATTTTTTGTGTGCTTGTACGCGATAATCAGATATATTAAACGATTTTTCCAAATTTGAATAACGTCTCAATGCTGGTCCAATAATATGTCTTATTTTAGTTAAATTAGCAACTTAACAAATACGATCCACATTAAATTGCTGTACCGAAATTGATTTTTTAACTGACAAAATTTTGTTCATTATATTCAATAGTGTCATAAAATCACCCTCAGAACTCTTAAAATTTGGTGAAATTAAGGAAAATAGCGCTGTTGAATTTAAAACGTCCAAAATAGATGAAAGACAAATAAGATCATGTCCACAGTCGTATTCTCGAAGTGCACCTAATACAGATACGGACATTTGTATTGTGCCAAAGTCAGGAATTTTCGAAAGTAATTTTCCAAGATCTGTAAAATTTTGGCTCGGAGCTTTTCTCAAAATTTCTAAGAATTCAAAAAACTATATTTGATGTATTGAAAGTAATAGACTATCTATATAACGTTTTCTATAAATGTAGAATGCTGATAATTTACTAGACAGTTTGTGTCTACTATTGATCTTCTGATAAAATTTTCAATTTCAGAAGCTAAAATTAACATCGAAGTAGAGGACGAAATGCTATGACTTAAGCAAATCTAGTTTTCTTCCTTTGGTATAATAGCAATAGACAAATGAAAGGTGCTCTCTGGTTCAATTTTATTAGACTACAGATAGAAAAGAGAAAAAACATCTGAAGCCTGTCTTGATATTTACCAGGCACTTTTTGTTGCCGATAGTCAATGATAGGAATCCAATAAGGAATTGTGGTTTTTGCATTATAAAAGAAATCATGACCTATCAAAATATAGATTGTGAGACAATATAATCCAGTGTTGTTTTCCAAGGATTTAGAACAACGTGTTTCGTAAGGTAATTGTGAGAATTTTTCCCTTGTAAGTAATTACTATTCTTTCGCACATTCTGAGCCAATTTGTCTCATTATTATCATGCAAAATTAATCAGTCTTTTGGATCTTCCTTATGTTAGAAGAAGATAAGTTTCCAGTCGATTTATTTAGAAAACTCATCAAACATAGCAGTGAAAAACGCAACACTATCTTCTCTCTGTCAAAAGATATTCGCAATTAAAAAAAATACGGAATAATGTATAGATCATTTTCCATATGAAAAGTTTCTTTTACAATCGTACGAAACGAATCTTATTATTTCAGTTCACGTTTTCTTATGGAATTAGAAACAGTAAATTGTTAATTATGTCGTTTATTCTGTTATCTCAGATCTGACATAATCCTATACTCGATCATTTTTTTCATAGATTATCATAATAATTATATTTCATAATACTATTCAGTCGATGATCTCAAATTATTCAATTATGTGAGAACTAAACATCATATCAAATTAGATCTTAAAATCAAAGTTGACAAGATCACTCGAGGATGTCAATGTCCAGATCATCTCTATCCTTAGATTAATTTTATTATACATAGATCATTATAGACATATACAAAGAAGTTCCAGCTCAGTCTATCACTTAGTCGAAAGATTTCTCTCAACTTACTTAAAGCTCTTAAGACGCTAACTGCACTATCGATATATTGTGGTACTGGTTTATCAGGTAAAAATTTCTGAATAGCATGCAGTCCACATTTTAATGGTGATCGTCGTAATGAAAATTCAATATTCGTTAAATCCGATTGACATATGTGTGGTATTGGATACGGTAGTTCGTCAGGATCATAATCAGGCCTCGTAGTCGTCCTATTTTTCCTATTTTTCCTATATCTTTAGAAATTTTCCTATAAAGTCCTCTTTTTCAGGCATCTATCCTATATTTCCTATATATTTGAAAAAGTTAAGATTCTTCTCTAGTGAATATGTTTTAATCAGAAAAAATACACATGCTTCAATAGATATTACCATATAGCTTCTATAGTAAAACGAATGACAACTAGTGACAGTATATATATATATAAATATATATATACACGTTCTCGTCTATCAGTATATTTACTATTAGGATTGACTCTTTTTTTTATTCCAATTGTTTTATTAAAGATGACTAATTATTTCTTCATAGGCTTTAAGTTGAGTTTTACACAAGATTATGTGATGCTTTCTTGTAAATCAAATACTTACGTTTATCAAAAGTGTAAAATTATTTTTTCGATCTAGATCTATTTTAAATTACGAATTTTATTTGTGTTATCGAGGTGATCCTTGTCTATCATGTTATCTTTCAATTGTCTATTTTTCTACATTTGGCGTGACCATCGTTGTTATACTATTGCTCAACGTCTGGTGTGACTATCATTCTTTGTACTATTGTTCAATACGTCTGGCGTGATCACATTCTTTGTGCTATTGTTTAACATATGACACGATCCTATAAACACACACCCTTTTTCATTTTTTTGATAATAAACGGTATAACCAGTGCTAAAAACTTGAAAATATAATTTTATGCCAAAAGACACCAAGTTTAACTAAATATGGTTAGAAAGAACAGATAATGATGGAAATCAAGTACATAATTGGCTAAAGCAAGGTACAACAGAAACAACATTCCAATGCACATTATGTAAAATAGGCGATCGTGAATGTGAAAAATCAGGGCTGGAGTGCAATTTATCAGCATTTGAATACGAAAGGACATATGGAAAATATGAAACTATTAAAAAATAATTAAAAATTTGTTATTGTACCACCAAAATCTCAACAATTATGAACTAATAATGTTATTAAAACTGGTTCATTACGACTTGATGATATTCGAAAGGCGGTGATATTAAATTTTGATGAACAAGTTACGAGCGCCGAAACTGTTTGGGCTTTAACGGTGGCACGACGAGGTTTTACTTACAATTCAAGTGATAGTATCGGTGATACATTTATATCTATGTTTCCCGATTCTAAAATTGCCCAACAGTTTAACATGCAATCAAAAAAATTGTCATATGTAATGTCTCATGGAATCGGACCCTATTTTCATCGAGATTTAATTAAACAGTTAAAACGTTGTGAGAAGTTTGTGTTATGTTTTGATGAACAAACAAATGTGCAAAATAAAAAACAATTGGATTTATTAATTAAGTTTTGGTCTTATGGTGAAGGACTTGTTGTCACTCGATATTATAAGTCTGTCATGTTAGGACATACTCAGGCTCATGTTCTTCAAGATGCTATTATTAATTCTTTTAAAACAGATGGTATTAATCTGAAACGATTGTTAATGTTAGAACGTGATAATCCATTTGTTAATATTTCATTGGAAAATTTAATTGATGAAGAGATGAAGAAGATTGAAAGTGGTTTACTTTTATTAGGATCGGGTAATCTTCATTCGGTGCACAATGGCTTTAAAACCGGTACTTTTATATGTCTCTTTGAGTCAATAAGATTATTTATTATTTCTTAATCTTCCGCTTTAGGTATATCATCGGCCAACTGGCACGTGGAAAATATCTGCACAGAAATTTATTCATGGTTTAAGCAGAGTCCTGCACGTAAAGAAGATTTAGTTGATACAATTGATGAATTTGATGATTTGGTTGAAAAAACATTGCTATACTTCACAATCACACGTTGGATTCTTCTTGGTAAAGTTATTGCTCGTGTTTTAAGTAAGCTTATTGACAATTTTTTGTCCTTCACTTTTCTATTAGAATATTATATTTGGTAATTTCTAGCATTATGGGAACCTCTAAACGAATATTTCTTAATTTTTTTACCAACTTGTCAAAAAGCGCAAATTCGTAAAAATGATAAATATGAGAAAATTAAATCTAATTTAACATCAAATGTATCTAAAATCCGATTACACTTTGTATTGTTCTTATGTGAAACTATTTTTGATCGGTTTTTAACTTGGTTTCAACAGGAGGGACCGCTTATTCATCTTCTTCACCACGAATTATCTGAATTATTTCATTTGGTTTCGTTACAATTCTTAAAATCTGATTATGTTGCGGATAAATCTGGTAGCGATTTGTTGGATTTAGATTTTAAGTTAAACGAGAAACAATTGAACAACAAACAGATTCGAATTGGTATCGTTGAAAATCACTACTTCATCATCGTTTTATTTACTGATATTCTTTTTTATTTATAGGAGAAAAAACTCGTAAAGAATTGAATGAACTTACACAACAGGAGCGTGAGACATTTTTTTCTGATGTTAGAAAAATCTATCATGGAATTGCTCAATACTTTCAATTAAATTTACCGTTAAAGAACACCTTTTAAAGAGATGTGCAAATTTTGCATCATTCTTTGAAAGAAACACATAGTGCTGATCAAATTATTCGTGTTGCACGTGCTGTTCCACATTTATTAACAGATAATGAAATTGATCATTTACGCAATGAGTGGTTAATTTATTCATATGAAACTATTGATGAAAAATGGATAATAAAAAGCCAAGAAAAAGATTCATCTGGTAATGATCACATTATCTACCAACGAATTGATTTTTATTGGAACAATGTTTTGGCTATAACGTTATCAGATGGCCGTTCAAAATATCCTACCTTTTCAAAGCTTGTGAAAAATATTCTGATTATTTCTCACGGTAATGCCGATATTGAACGTGGTTTTTCAATTAATGAAAATATTGTTACTACAAATCGATCATCGTTATCTGAATTATCAATTAATGGATTACGTACTACATATGATGCTGTTAAATTTTCTGGTGGTGGTTTCAGTCACAAAGCATGTATCGATTCATTTGATTTTGAAAAATTACATTTATATTTTTATGTCTAGGTACCGATTAATAAAGAACTGATTAAAGCCGTTCAAAATTCTTATTCTTTTTATAAAGAAGAACAGGCGATTGTGAAAGCAGCTGCAGAGCGGATTGAAAAGGAGAGAGAAGAACGAGACAATGCTGATGAGGTATACAAACAAGTGTTACAACAAGAGGAAGACTTGCTAATGAAGCAAAAAGATTTGCAACGGCAACAACAAGAAGCGAATTTAATAATCACTGATGGCAGTTCCCGATTACAACTGGCAATTAAAAAAAAAGATTGTCTCGATGTTGATAGAGCTACAATTTTAATTGATGGTGGCAACAATCGAAGTAAAGTTATTGGTAATGAACTATTGAAAGTTACAGAGGACTTAATTAATATTCAAAAGAAAAGAAAAGATGCATTTGCTAAACAACAACAACAAAAGAAACCGAGAATTACAATTGATTTAGCTAACCATGAGTCTTAATTAAAATAGATTTTTTTCTTATGGTTCATTTATATTTTTGTATATAATTGTTTATACAGTTTTCGAATGTATTATGTCAATAACTATGAAAAACAGATAAAACAAGTTGTTTATAAAAATAAATTCAACTGTTTTGTGATATATGCTTTTTTTTTTTATATTTTATATTTTTTGTAAAGATATTAATCAACAAGTGTTAATAAATCGAACAGATACATTATCTTGTTTAATTCGTTTTTGGATCGAACTTTGCTGCATGATTTTTTAGAAACTATAAGAATTATTGGTTGCGATTTCTCGACACCTTACACTAAGCATTGTTTATGATGTTAAAGACACTGTGATGCATGACAAATACTTTAAAAGGTTTCCTATTGAAAACAAATCGTCCTATATATTTCCTATATTTTTATAACAATCCTATAAAAATGCTACTTTTAAAATCCTATATTTTCCTATGCACTCGGAAGTCATCGCTACGAGGCCTGCTATACACATTTAACATGTTTTATCTTTTCTTTTCATCCGCCTAAACATTCAATGCTAACAAACATAAGAAAAATAACGTAACGATTTCTCTAGCCATTATAGAGTGGGTGGACGTATACTCTATCTCTTCATTAAGACCCATAACCAACCAAATATTCATACGCCTACCCACATTCGCAAGCTGTATATCATGATCAGAATAACTTTCATCAAAATAAGATCGCTAAATACGCAACGAATGCTCTCGAATTTCAACTATCAACCTTTTTACATCGCTTTCTTTTTGACAGTTAGATCAATTTTTTTCCAACAAAGTGGAAAGGAACCTAGATGTATCTTATATGAATCAAAAGTTCTTTAGAAGGCTCATATAGATAGATGTGAAAAATTCTTTTCAAACGCTCAAGATGAGTTTACTCATGTTAAAATAAGCTTTCTGACATTCTCTATGCATGGATTGAAGAAAAAACATATACGTTGAGAAGAAAATGAAGGATTCGTTTGAAAAAAAAGCAAAGTTCGAAATAAAAAACTATATCGTTCTTGAAAGATCAGATTTCAACTTATCTTTTTCTGTGATCATCTGAAGTCTTTTACTTTTCACTAGTGGAACAACTACCAGTTACTTTTATTGATTTAACAGTACTATACACAAGGGGGGAAAAGCTGATTGCAATCAAAGCAATCATTGTCAATCATTATCAATCACTTGTCAATCATGTCAATCATTGTCAATCAGCTGTCAATCAATAGTAACTATTAATAATTGTTCAGAATAAAGCAAGGCGGGAAAAGCGAGGCTTCTTCTACTTCAAGATAAAAGTGAAGCACAACTGAAGTACAGCGAAGTACAAGCGGGGATGTAACAATACCAATACCGTCAATACCAATACCAATTGGTATTGACTGGTATTGATATTTGTATTAGTATATGAGGAAGCTGCTGCTACTTCACATCAAACTCAAAAATTTTGAGACACCAGTCAGTAATTCGGATTCCTCGACCCCGAAACTCTTTGATCAAACTTTATAAACATCGTTATTTTCGAAGAATAACCTTGTTTTGGTCAAAAAAAGTGAGCATCAAAGTGCGTGATCTCCAAATTTGAAGTTCACTTACGCATCGATCAAAAAAATTTAACTCCAAAGTGGGTCAGCTTCAAGCTTCAAGTTTGCTTCTCCAATACCTGGAATGCTAGTAGCACTATCTGGCATACTACTAGCATCACCTGGGATGCTAATAGCTTCATATGGCATGCTAAAGGCATCATCTGTTATGCTACAGACATTACTGGGATGCTAAAATCTGATTGGTTGACAATCGACCAATCAGATGTGAAGAAGCCATTTCTTCGCTATTGTTAGGACAAAATATACTCATGTTCGGACCAAATGAAAGAAGGCTCAGATAATCCTAGGAATGGCCCGAACAATCCTATGCTTTGTCCTTAGAATAGAGGAAAAAACCGCACTAAAATCTCATTGGTGGTTAATCGACCAATCAGATTCGCGGAAGTTTTTTTCAGCCATTGTCAGGACTAAACACAGGGTTGTTCGGAAGGGTTATATGGAGTCCTCTTTCGTTTGACCCGAACATGGCAATGCTTTGTGCTTACAATAGCGAAGAAGCAGCATTCTCGAATCTGAATGATCGATTATCAAGCAATCAGATTTTAGTGTGGTTTTTTCCTGTATTATTAGGACAAAGCATAGGGTTGTTTGGGCCAATCGTAGGGTTATCTGGGGTCCTCTTTCATTTGACCCGAACATGAGTATGTTTTGTCCATACAATAGTGAAGAAATAGCTTCCTTGAATCAGATTGGTCTATTGCCAGCCAATCAGATTTTAGGATCCCAGTTTTGCCTGTAGCATCGCAGGCGATGCCTCTAGCATACCATGTAATGCTACAAGCTCCCAGGTAATGCTATTAACATTCCGAATGATGCTACTGGAATTCAAGATGATGCTACTAGCATCTCTGGTAATATACCTATACAACATCAGACACTAGTCTCCACCTAAGATTGCAGTCCAAGGGAATTTTACTACTGTAAACAAGAAAACATGGACTGGATTTGATTGGTAAAATATGATTGTGTAAGTGAGCTCCAAATTTGGAGTATACGTGTGGAGTTCACTTTTTTTGACACCTTGTTTTAAAGAAAAAAATGAAATTAGAAAGTTTTGAGAAACCAATTATAAATTCTTGATTTTTTTGATCAGGAATACGTCATTTTAAGAAAATAACATTTTTTATAAAATTTGATGAAAGGTTTTCGGGCCGAGGAATCTGAATCCAGTGTCGATTTTTCAAAATATTGATGTTTGACGTGATGGTGTATGGGAAGGAGAGGGCGGCTGGTCCTTCACGTGAAACATCAATATTTTGAAAAATCGACACTGGATTCAGATTCCTCGACCCGAAAACCTTTGATCAAATTTTATAAAAAATGTTATCTTCTTAAAATGACGTATTCCTGATGAAAAAATCAAGAATATATAATTGGTTTCTCAAAATTTTCTAATTTGATTTTTTTCGTTAGAACAAGGTTATTCTTCGAGAAAAACGATTTTTTATAAAGTTTGATCAGAGGTTTTCGGGGTCGAGGAATCCGAATTACTGACTGGTTTCTCAAAAGTTTTGAGTTTCACGAGAAGTACCAGCAGCTCCGCCCCCCGCCCCCCGCCCCCATATACCAATGCAAATACCAGTACCAGTCAATACCAATATCGATCAATACCAATACCGATCAATACCAATACCAGTCAATACCAATACCATTTAATACCAATGCCTCAGTACCGTGTTGGTATTGTTACATCTCTAAGTACAAGTGAAGTACAGTGAAGTACAACTGAAGTACAGGTGAAGTACAAATGAAGTACGCACTCCTGAAGTCTCGCTTTTTCTCCCTTGGTTTTTTGTCATGTGTATATTCAAGTTTCGTATCAAAATGTACGTGTAGAGTCACAGTATTTTCCTGTTGTTCAATCATAGAAATATTATAATGGCCGAAAAAGAACTCGGACTGATGTTTTCTCGATATAAAAAAAGTGGATAATCACTATCAATCATTGTCAATCAAGTCAATCTGGTAAATCAAAAATTCAGCTTTTCCCCCCTTGACTATATATCTCAACACGTAAAACCATTCCGTTGAAAGACGAAATTTTCAAAAAAAAGTCGACCTTAAATCGTACGAATGGCTTGCAATTGCATCATATTGATTTTAATGATCATCAGTCAAAGTATATCCGAGAAAATACCTTATAGAAATATTTTTTCACAAGTGTCAAGCGTTAACTGATTGCAGACGATAACGAACCTCACAGCTTAATTTTCATATCATTATAGATGATTATGACGTTGGTTAAGTGCAAATAGAAAAAAAGGAAGTGTCAAAACGCAAGAGAAACATTTAAATTGATGTTGTGATGAGCGTGAGATATTTTTTATTAATTAAAATATATGTGAATCATCAATACAAGACAAAATAAGTAAATATTCTGCACTTTTTCAATAACGATAAATATGAATCATCGTTTATCATTTATGTTTGTCAAAAGTCAGTTTCAATCTAACCGTTCCTCATAAAATAAGACGTATATCATTCAAGAAGATTTCAATGAGTTTTTAGCTAAATCTTTAGAGAAATATATGATAATGAAGGAATTTTCCAATGAACCATTCATGTCGAACATTAAAGATATGTTCACCAATACATGAGAACTATTTGTCGAATTTTCCACATGATTATTTCGTTCTTAAAATGTGTCTATCAGGTTAAATATTCTTGAGAAATAGTTCTTAGTTTCATGGTATGGGTATGAGTATGAATATGCGTGGAGTTAGCGTGGATGGAATAAAAAATCATTCAGAATCACCATCTCAGTGACACTCACAGATTCACATCCTCAAACTCAGATGTAGAACCTAAGCCCTTTCTTTCATCATCACTCACACTCTCATCAATATCTCAACTTGTCATTCAATTATGTGCAAACATCATTAGGTTATAGTCGACTTCTTATCATGCTTAAATGAAGAAAATATCAATCGTTCTCTTCCATGCAATTTCACCGTAATTATAATTGACTATCTCTCAATCGTACTTCTAGTTACTTTTGAAACTTCTAGCATAGTCATGCTTGGGGATGGCGCACGGTTGAATGCGTTACATATGAAAACAAATCATGTTTAGTAATTTTAAAATAATTAGTGTGTAATCAAAACTAGTTATCTCTCAATAACACATAAAATTACCTCGAACATTTCTGACTTTACGTGGGACGATGGTGAAGTTTATATAAAGGGTTGTTACATACAAAGTACTATCAGTTGAATACATACTACGCTCAAAGCAATGATGATCACTGTTTTTTATGTGATGGCTTCTTCAATCATCATTATAGCAAGTGTACATGCACTACCGACGACAGCAGTGAGTAATTTTCTACGTTCAATAAGGTTTCGGATATAATCTGTGTTTTTCAATTTTTATGAAGAACT